ATCAATATTCATAGCTCAATAGCATAAACATAAAACTACGTTTTCCTTTTACGTTTTACGTCTTAAGGCTTTTCACAAAGCCATAAGCCCTTAATCCCTTGATTCTGACTTAGTTAAGTATTTACAGAAGTTCAACTCCATCAAAATAGGGTCAACAAACCCATAGCCCAGTTCTGTATAAACAGTACCTTACTGTTCCTCGAAATCCCAGAATATCCGAATATATGTCGGGGGCATATCCGGATATCAATATCCGGATATCTCACTGGTAATATCCGGATATCTAGATCCCCATATCCGGATATCAATATCTGGATATTTATCGACCAAATATCCGGATATTTCGCGACAGAATGCAGTTTCTGCATTTCGCGAAGATATCCACCAAAGGTCCAACTTTTACCAATTAAAAGCGTTCAAGACTCCATTTTTAGGGCTATACAGGTTCATACACATGTTAGTTACTTGCTTAACCCATTTACATGCAAAGACACCACCTTTAAATCATTTAAACTCATGATCAAGGTTGGTACAACTTACCAAAGTTCAAAACAGAAAAGCAAAGGCTCTTGGAGCTCTCCAAACTGCCTCCAAGTTTCAGACTACCAAGGAATACGAAAATGACAACACAAGGTTGAACCTTTCAACACAAAGGAAGCTTCTTGAAGCTTCACAAGCCAAGAACAAGATGGCTCTCACCCAAACTCCAAACTCAGCACTCAAACTGACCTCACGCAGTGGCCTACAACTCAGAAGATGCACTCTCACACCCTCACAATGATAGCCCTTAAGTGTTTACCAAGAAAAAGAGGTAGAAACCAAGTGAAAGATGACAACTTGACTAAAAAATGGAGAAGAAAGGCCATGCACCCAAGCACTAGCTGACCAGCCACCCAAAAACTCACGTACAACTGATATGCCTAGGGTTTTGAGCCATAAATGTTGTATATATAGCCCACTTAAGCCTTAAACACACTGTATTAACTTTAATTGCTACGCTTAGCATTTTAATCCCAAACTCAAGATTCTTAACCTGCTCAATTTTACAAGAATTATCATATTTTTCTCATATTTTTTGCAGCACTTTTCCGGTACGCGTTTTTCATAGCCAGTAACATTTCTGGCACCAGTTCTCATTATTTTAACTTGAAACTCATTTTACAAGTCTTATATATTATTCTAAGAATTATCATGCACTTATTATAATTTTTCGAGGTACTTTTTCGGTACGCATTTATAGCAACTAGCAGAACCGGTATCTGCACTTTTCGTCAGAAAAGTGACTTTCAGCATTATTACTCACTTACTATAATTATTAGAGCCTTATAATAATTATTAGGGTCAATTATGGAATTATCACATTAAACTCATAATTAACTGATTAATTTCCTTAATTAACGGTGTGAGTTCTTACAGGAACCATGAAGAGAAAACATCAACACATTATGAACGTTGCTCGCGCTCTATTTTTCTAGGCGAAATTACAAAAGAAGATGTGGTGCTTTGTTGTGACCCATGCGGTCCATATAATCAATCAGATGTCTACTATGATGCCTAACAAGAAATCACCCTATGAGGTCCTACGTAGGACACCACTAATCTTTCTTCATTTACGGGTTTTTGGTTGTCTTGTGTATGCTTCCACAATGGTTTTGCACCAAACAAAGTTCTCCTCAAGAGCACGCAAGTCTATTTTTCTTGGATACCAGGAGGGTGTCAAGGGATACATACTCTTTGATCTGGAGTCTCGACAAATCTTCACTTAGAGGAATGTTATATTCCATGAAGGTCATTTTCCATTTCATGATCCTTTATCCCCAGATACCCACCCCGTAGATACTACCAATAAGCCTACCACTAAATTCAACACACCCATCCTTGACCTAGACTTATTTCCTAACCTTACACAACCAATACCTGATAATGCCCAATCTGAACCCAACCAAACCTCAACTACTTCATCTAAGTCCAACCAAACCCCAGCTGTTGCTAAACCTGAACCTAATTAATCTTCAACTACTGTCAAACCTGCATCTCATTCAGCTATTCGTCGTTCAACTCGTACACGTGTACCTCCAAGATACCTTTAAGAATATGACTATAGTCTCTCCGCTGCTCAACAAACACAATCGTGCCAAGGAAATTCTTTGCTTTTTGTTAACCATATTACTCACCCATTGTCTTATGCCCTCTCTCACCATAGCTGTTCTTTTTTCCATAAGCATTTTTGTTTGAATACGATCACTCATTCTGAACCCAAGATATATTCTCAAGCTGTCAAGACTCCAAAATGGAAGCAGGCTATAAATGCAGAGTTATCTGCCTTGGCTCTCAATGATACATGGTCAGTGGTTGATTTGCCATTAGGGAAGGTACCTATCGGATGTAAGTAGGTCTACAAAGTTAAGTACAAGTCCAATGGTGATATGAAACGTTACAAGGCCCATCTCGTGGCAAAGGGGTTCTCCCAAATGGAGGGAGTGGATTATTTCGATACCTTCTCTCCAATTGCCAAACTCATGTCCATTCGTGCTCTTCTTGCCATTGCAACATCAAAAGGGTGGCTCCTTGAATAGCTTGACATTGACAATGCATTCCTTCATGGTGATCTTCATGAGGAGGTGTATTTGAAACTCCCTCACTGCTTGAAAGCTGCAAAACCGAATCAAGTATGTGAATTCAACAAGTCACTCTGTGTTTAAAACAGGCCATCAGACAATGGTATAGTAAGTTGTCTTCACCCTTGCTTTCTCTGAGCTATATTCAAGGAAATGATGATCGTTCTATGTTCATTCTCAAGAATTCATCTTCATTCACAATACTCTTAGTGTATGTTGATGATATCGTGTCATGTGGGAATCTTGCAACTGAGATATAACACGTCAAGGACTACTTATATGCTTAGTTTCGAATCAAAGACTTGGGCTCTTTGAGGTTTTTCTTGGGCCTTAAAGTTTCTCGTATGAACAAAGGAATCTTGTTGAATCAATGCAAATATGCGTTAGAGATTTTAGATGACATGGGGTTCCTAGCTTCGAAGCCATCTCACTCTCTTATGGATGCCAACCTCAGACTTAGTCGTACTGATGAAGTTCCAGTGGCAGATCCTTCTGAGTATAAACGTCTAGTGGGTCGCTTGTTATTTCCCACCACTACACGTCCAGACCTCTGCTTTGTTATGCAACAACTAAGACAATACATGGCTCACCCTCTTGATACACATATGTGTGCAGCTCATAGAGTACTCAGATACATTAAGGTTACCCCAGTTATTGGTTTTTTCTTTTCAGTTGATTTAGACCTTCGCATTCGTTCCTTCACAGATGCAGATTGGGCATGTTCCCCAGACACAAGGCATTCCATTACTGGTCTATGCGTTTTCATTGGAGCTTCCTTAGTCACTTGGCGATCCAAGATGCAATCAACTGTTTCTCGTTCCTCCTCCAAAGCAAAGTATCGAGCTTTGGCATATTTGTCATGTGAACTTCAGTGGCTATAACATCTGTTTTATGATCTTCATTTGTCTTGGGACAGAATAGCCTCTGTGTTTGGTGACAACCGTTCAACAATTTACTTAGCTCACAACCCAACATTCCATAAGAGGTCCAAACATATTGAGTTAGACTGCCATGTAACAAGGGAGAAAATCCTAACTGGCCTTCTACGCTTACTTCCTATTGCTTCCAAGGATCAGTTGGCTGATACCTTTACTAAGTCTCTTTCAGTGCCTCAGTCTCAATCTGCTATCTCCAAGTTGGGACTTCTTGATGTCCATCGTCCCATTTGTGGGGGGCTAATACTGAATAATAAAAGTGATACAAGTTTTTTTTCTCATAAATCTGATAATAAAGTTGCTGCTAAAGTAAAGTTAAATCCCACGTGTATGCCTCCAACCAATCATAACAGATCAATGTAAACTGATTCTTTTGTTAGTTAAGGGGTTTCAATTCTGTTAGTTTGTTCAGCTCAGGGTTCTTTGTTCGAGTATATATTTAGCTACTGTATCACTGAAGATAAGATATAATTTTGTATTCTTCTCAGATAATGAAATTACTGAAGTTTTCTCAATTTATCAAGATATATTTTGGTGAATTAAAAGTTTGGAAACTTGATCATGTAAGATGAAGTGAAATTTACATGAATACATTATATTAAACCAGAAAGAATAATCCGGTTGGCTGAGCAGCGATATTGTCAAAAGCATATGTAGAGAAAATGATAAAATAAGAAACAAAGTATACAACATAAAGGAAAATATATTTCTTATATTGTATGAGATACTTTATCTTATTCAACACAAAAAATGGGTGGAGCTTATTTATTTTTATTTTTTTTAATAAATCTCACTTATTTTTTTATATATTATATAAGATATGCTGCATAAGAAGTAAATCGTACGTAATAGCTATGAAGCACCGACATTTCAAAAATCTTGACGTGTCGTGTCCGACACTCTCTGACACTCCGACACTCTCCGACACTCTAACACACGTTGTAGAAACTCAAAAAATGGTTCAAAGGTTGCGTTACATTACGTTTTGAGTTTCAACTATTAGATTCATTGGATTACGATTACCATTTTATTGAGTTTAATATAAATATTTTGGATATCTTATGTTTCTATGCAAAATTGATGAGTATTATAAGTTTAACTTTATTTTTTTATTAAATTATTGAATATTAAATATAATATACAGTACATAAATAAAAAATATTATTTAATATCAAAACGTGTTCTAACTTGTCAAAATCTAACATCTAACATTTTTTAAAATTAACGTGTCAGAGTGTCGTATCGTATCGTGTCACGTGTCCCGTGTCGATATCGGTACTAGATAGCGTAATAGTATAAGAATTCCATTGAAGTGGGTAACACATGTTACGGGACAAGTGGCTTTAAAGAATTGGTGAGACGTGAGACAGTGGTGTAATTGTACAAATGCAATGTAATAATACGTGGCAGTCCCGTATTCCTCACAACTAACTCAACTTTACTCGTGTTAACGTTTAGCAGCTCGCAAACCTGACTCGCTGACTCGTTTTCTGGTTACAGATACCATCTTCCAAAGTTCCAAACTTTGCTGATTCTTTGTTTTCAGCAATCGGTGACAACATCCATATATTGCTGTATCAAACTACTTAACACTGGTACGTTCCTCTAGTGTCTCTCTCCCTCTTCCTTTTTTTACTGCCTGGTTCTCTCTATGATGCTCTGAACTGAAACCAATTCTTTCTTTCTTTCTTTGCAAAACTGAGTTATTATATTCTCTTTCGGCATAATTTGAAGGGTAAGGTCACCGGGTGTCTGATTTCCCCTAGTATTATAGTATCTATATATATATAGCTTTTAGATGTTTTCAGTTTCATCAGAAAAGCCACGTTACTCCTTTTTTGAAAAATATAATCAGGGTTCTACCTATTTGGGCCATCCGAACAATTGAATTTGTGATTTGATATCAAATTATTTGAGGGTCAAATTTGAGATAGACATGCCAACATTCACAACTCTCCCCAACACATACCCTGAACCTTGACATAGGTCGAATGCCAATGGACCAGGACGGTTTTTTTTAACAAACCTAGTTCAGTTTCTAATTTAATCACTTGTTAATTCCTTTTTAATATAGGATTTTTTTACTCACATGTCTAACTTGGAATTTACATTTGAGTTCTTGATAATTTGCTCCACGACCATAAGAATTAGAGGAAACCAAATTGTCATGAAAATATAATTCAATGGACTTAAAAAATATCACAGCAGTAGTCTCATTTCAAAACTTTAAAATGAATATATTTTTAAGTCATTTTACAAAGTACTTTATCCATTCTTTCTTAACTAATGGCTTTTTAATTCACATATCTATTTAAAATTCACACTTGAATTTTTCAATACCACTAAATTCAAACCTACTTATTAAGAAATATCTGGTGAATTTACCAATCTGCTGGCTTTCTTGTCATGGGTGAATTGTGCTTTTGATATATTAGAGTTACAATGCTGCAAGTAGTTCAAAATTGTGGTTGTGAGTCGTGATGGAAGATGCTATGACATGTTTTAAATTGTGTGCTTGTACCAAAGAGGATTGGTTCGAGTGTACATGCCTAATTCTGCTTAAGTAAGGTCTTGGGTTCAAGTCCTTGTGAATACAAAAAATTCTCTTTGAGAGAGCTAGTTTCACCATAATATGACTATTCCTAGCTCGAACAGCATTGCCTCCTATGGTTTATATCCAAAATAAAAAATTGTTTGGTTGTGTTCTTTTGCCACTACCCTTCGTCCATCTTCCCAAAACACATAGTAAGCTCTGAAACTCCCCACCTAATATCCTCAACTTTGCAGCCACGCAAGCAAAGCAAATTTCCAAATTGAAGAGAAAAGAGAAGAGAGCTTGCTCATCTCAAATTCCTGTTGTTTCGGCCTTCATTCATTACTGTCTTTTTTTTTAATAAATACCTCTAAGCTCCGTATTGGCGTGGTGACATTACAGCAAGTTACTCACAGCCACAGGGAAAAAAGATTTAGAGCAGGAGTGAGGTCCTAACCTTATTCACCCCTGCTTTTTTCCAAATTCCATTGAATGTGTTAGAGAGATATAAAAATCATTAGTGTAGCTTCACCCACGGCTTTAAGGTTTTGGGTTGAAATGGATTTTTACATGGTGGTCACGAGTTCGATCCTATCGCCTCCTACTTTGTGATAGAATTAAGTAAGCACAAGATAAGATAGACAAAAAAAATATGTTTGTGCAATATTCACGCTTCAAGCCCAAAAGGCTCTTGTGTGAGGGGATATGTTAGAGAGATATAAAAATTATAAATATAGTCTCACCCACAATCTTAAAGTTTTGGGTTGAAATGACAATTTACAGAATGCTATAATTTTATGTACTTGTTAGTTCTATCGTCTTGCGCATGAAACAGGAAAATCATTCTCATAAACGTATTTTCCAATATATCTCACTTCAATCTATTACTCATGCTTATGTTGGAGCAAATTGGAAAAACATGAGGAATGGAAACTGTATTTTACTGATCTCGGATTGATGGACTCGGCCACAAGAAGACCGTTATGCAATAGGGGGAATGATACTACTTTGTGACAAGAAAGTGTTAGGAGTCAGATAATTTGAACAGAAGCCAAGATAGAAAGCAACATTTTGTTTGTTTGTTAATTTGTGCCTTGTGAATTTTCTTCCTTATCATTCTATGAATATTTGTTCAGAAGTGGAGAATGAGATGATTGGTTCCTGTTAGTTTTATTTTAGATTACTCTAGGAAAGTATAACTTTGATGACATTATAGATGTTGTTATGTATGATAGGGGCTAGTAGAGCGAGACGCCATGGTTTCTGCTAATGGACTAGCTACTGCACAGCCTCTTTTTTCTTTTGGATTGATTTCTGACGTCCAATATGCTGACATTCCTGATGGTCGCTCATTCCTTGGTGTTCCACGGTATTATAGGCATAGTATTCTTGTATTGCAGAGAGCAGTCAAAGAATGGAATACTCATCAGAAGCATAAGTTTGTGATTAATTTTGGAGATATTGTTGATGGGTTTTGTCCCAAAGACCAATCTCTGAATACTGTAAAGAAAGTTGTGGATGATTTTGAGATGTTCAGGGGACCCGTGTATCATATGATTGGCAATCACTGCCTGTACAATCTTCCTCGCAGCACATTGCTTCCATTATTGAAGATCCAAACTCTGGATTGCCGTGCTTACTATGATTTCTCACTCGTGGCTGAATATAGATTTGTGGTTCTGGATGCCTATGACATCAGTGCCATTGGTTGGCCTCAAGATCATCCAAGAACAGTGGAGGCCTTGAAACTTCTCAGGGAGAAGAATCCAAATGAAGATAAGAACAGTCCGACAAATTTGGAGGGGACTGAAAGGAGGTTTCTTATGTTCAATGGAGGCGTTGGAAAGGAACAGATGGAATGGTTTGATTGTGTTCTCAAGGAGGCAACAAAATTGAAACAGAAGGTGGTTGTATGTTGTCATCTGCCTCTAGATCCTGGTGCAGCAACAGAGGAGGCACTATTGTGGAATTATGAAGAAGTGATGAACTTGATACACAGATACACTTGTGTTAAGGTTTGTCTTGCTGGACATGATCATAAAGGTGGGTACTCTGTTGATTCTCATGGGGTACACCATAGAGTTCTTGAAGCTGCTCTGGAATGTCCTCCTGGCACGGATGCATTTGGAAACGTTGATGTTTATGATGACAGGATATCACTAGTTGGAACCGGCAGAATGGAGAGTACAGACATGCAGTTTAATCCCAACGTGAATTTGCATGATAAGATGTCTTGATGTTTGGAAGACACCTATTCTTTTATTAGTAATTGGTAGGGTACCTATGATCTTGTTTTAGTCCTCCCCACGGGGAACTTTCTATTTAAAGTTGGAATAACTCAGTCGAGCCGGTGCTGGTAACGTGCAAGTTCATGAATCAATCAATATCTGCTCAACTTGTTCCTTCCTCATTAGAGAGGCAAGGATACACGAAGCAGCATTACTGGGGGTTACCTTAAACATGCTTTGTATGTTGAATCTTGTAAAACTGTTATGCAGTTTTGCCTCATTGCTTGACATGTATACAATGAAAAAACCTTTCCTGGACCGTGTAATTACTCTTAATGTGTGATTAAGACATTAAGTAATACTGAATTGCTACAGATAATTGAGGGAGTTGAAAATAAAATAAAAAGGCCCCTCATCGTTTACCAATGATAGTGAAATAATATGTCATATAATTGTATAACCAAGGTTGTCATATTGATATGAGTCTTATCTCCAAAGCTAACTTATAAGGTATGAGAGCTTATAAAGTTGTCATATGAATTCTATACCACAACCTTATGTTTCCGGTGTTGCAACTGAATCGTAACATCCTATCACACTTTATAATCCCGGTGTCTTGACTTGGTATTAGTTTTTTACTACTCCTTGGAGGAATATTATGGTGAAAGCTCTAATATCAATTAATACGAATTTTGAGAGAGTCATCTCAAAATCTAAATTTTAAAATAAGAGAACTCAAAGTTAAGGAAAAATGCACACATTTTCAATGTGGGACCTAGGTCTCATATTTTGCAACTAGATCATGACACATATAATGATCACACAAATGCGAATGAAGTGAAATGAAACACATTTTAAGCATATTTTACAATTCTAACATATTACAATATTACTAGCTAGAGTTGAGATAACCAAAGTCCCATATCATTCTTTTTCCATCTCCCACATTTCTGTTTTATGATATAGGCGAACACAATGTCTTACGCTGTGCACCTTCTCAAGACGCAAAAGAGAATAATACTAAACGAACATTTACTTTTACCTAAAAATAACATTATAACAAGAAAACCTGGCATGAAGTTTAATTATAAGTAGTTCTTGTATTTATGTTCGCACTCCCCTGTTCTGAATGGAAGAAGTTTTTCCCTTTCTCTTCTCAACGTACAAGAACACAAATAGTGACACCACCGAGAAAGCGCTGAAGCAGACAGAGCAGATATCGAGGGACAAGTGGCGTCCACTGATTGATTGAATCTCAAATAGGCTGTTGGTCTTTGTGACATCAGTGGTTTGACCATAACCAACTTCCACATCGTTGGAATCATGAGCATAGGCGCGTATGAAGTACGTGGTTGTGGGCACGTCTCTCTCAATAACCCACTCGAAGCTCTGAACCGTTGTATTGGAAGCACAGTAGGGTCTGGTAACGATGTTGTGCTGGCAAGTCTTGTCCCTGTAGACGTTGTCATCGGTCTTTCTCTAAGCGCGGTCTTGTTGACTGATGGGCACGTAGCATAGCTTCACCACGATGGCTTTGTAGGTTGAGTCCGTCTCAGCTGGTACAGTCCTATTTAGAGCCCATGTCACAGTTATTTTGTCTATGTCAGCTCTTAAAACTGCATCGTTTTGTCACATCAAAGTAGAATTAAGCATCAATTAATATTATCTCATGGTTTTTCTTTCATGTATGTTGTTCTAATAGTAAAAAGACTAACGAATCAATTCAACTCAAAATTTAAGACGTTCGATGATATTATATTAATGATTTTATATATCTCTACACGCTTCTTCACATAAGAGCCTAAGCTTGAAGGGTAAATAATGCGCACAGATCCACCTATTTGTACTAAGAAATTTCATAATAGAAAGTGGGAGATGTGATAATCGAATTAGTGACATCGAAGATCTGATATCATATAAAAGATTAATTTAACTCAAAAATTTAAGTTGGTTGATGAAACTATATTAATGATTTTATATATCTTTAATAAATTAAGAAGGGGCAATATTTGTGTTTTATTTACCTTGTCCCTGCTTAGGGGAAGCGGTGACATCAATGGTTCTTTTCAAGGAAGAGAAGAGAACGCTCCCATAACAAGTTCCGGCAAAGGAGTAAAGAAGAAGGGATGCTAGAAAAAGCCCGTGTGCATGCATAGATACTTAGTTTCCAATTACAGGAAGAGTGTTATTTGAAATCGGAATGGATGGACTTTTGAGTTTTAATTCCATTTATATAGAGCCAATAACATATTATTTGGCTGTGTAACATTGTTGCAATGTTTGGAAACAATACTATAATTAACTAGTAAAGATGGCCCTTGAAATTAGTATAATTTTTTATTGGTTGACTTATTATCTTTGTGTTCTCGTTTTCTTTTCGCAAGTGGCTCGGAGTTTGCTATGGATGACACGTAGCATAAACGCAGTGCATTAAATGAGAATGAGTTTGCTACTTGAAACAATGCGCTCCAGCCTTTGGATGAAAACAAACTCTTCGGATGTGAAAATCTTAAATATCACACAAATATGTTGCTTTTTGTTTCTTGATATAAAAGTTATATTTAAACTTGTATTTAAGCTTTTTAAAAAGGTTAATAACTACACTTGTCTATTAATAATATTGATACCAAAAAGTATTAAGCAAACATAACAGTTACTTTTTTGACAATAACTTCTTCTTTTTTTTTGAATAAATCCTTCCTTTAAAAAATGTAACAAATCTCCTATTCCTCACTTCTCATTCTCAAATCTGTATAAATTAAAGTGTTTTTTTTCCCCCCCCAAAAATGTCCCCTTATGTCTCGGAAAGGGCAACCGAACAAGAAGCCATATATACGTACTGGTAAAGCGGTTATAGCTATGTAATAGCTGAAAAGCGAACGCCTAAAGGATAATATATTTTTTTGTTACCCCAAGAGTATCATATTCCATAATCAAGAAAACCGTTTTTTATTTTTATTGTTTGTTCTGACATATAAAATAAGTTATTTTCCTTTTTGGGTTTTTTTTTAAACAATATAGGTATTTTGAGAAATTTTAAGATGTAATCGAGAAATAAAATCCCCAAAATGTCTTATTTTTTCTCCTCAAATTCTAAAATGATATCATTTTGAAGTTGTAAAACTTTTTATCTTATGTGATAAAAAAAATACTTTTTCCCTAGCCAAACTACTTGCAATCTTATTCAAATAATTGAAATAATAATGTATGTGAAATCAATCAAGAATTTTTCTTACCATGTATATGTAAAACAAAATAGAGTACTGAATTTGTATGATTTATTTACACTTTAATAGCATGTAATTAAATATTTATTTTATCTGTCTGACTATAAAATTTCAGTACATACAAAATAATTCAGGGTAAGGAACGAAAATACATATTTTTTTAATTTTATTTTCTCCCGTTTGATGTATAAATTAAGCAGAAGTGAGTTTAGGCCCATAAACTTCACAAAACTAGCTAAGAAAAAAATTGGGCGGCCCTGACAGGAAATTTAAAATTTATTCTATATTGTTGGGTTTGTGTTACCCTTTTTCTTTTTTTAATTCAATTCAGTTCATTGCCACGTATAATTAAAAGGGCCCAAATTTTGGTTGGTGCGTTCTTATAAATTGGTAGCAAACCCATTAAGAAGCTGGAACAAACTTGGGCCATATATTTGGGGCTTACCGCTTACGGAAGAGGTTTTTACAATCAGACCGAGCAAAAATCTTCTTTAACACAATTTCTTTTTGGTTCAAATATAAATTCTCTGATAAGAGAAAGTTTTAAGTAAATACCATGATATTAAAAAAATAAAAAAGGTACATTACATGGGACATGTGATATCATTTAAAACCGTGTAAGAAAATTGCCTCTCTGTATGTATTATAAATTTATCATAACTTTCTGAAATAAAAAGGATTATACTAAATGAAATTAGGCAGCTAAGCAATCTTGACGTACAATGATATTGATATTCAAACTAATTGAAAGAAAATGATGTGTATTAATATCCGTGAGGTGCGTCGTGCATGCATTTATTCATGCATTTTTTCTCTCTTATTGTATCTATTTTATTTTTTGATCTATGTGCATTAATATTATTGTATTGGGATTAAAAAATTAATAAAATTGTTAACTTTTGATAATATTCCTATAATCAATCTTAATCTAAGTGATTCTGACTTAGTTAACTTATTACAGATGTTCATATTAACCAATCATGGGTCTAAAAACTCAATCCACACTTCTTTCTAGACAGAACAATGCATAACTCGAAATTTTCAGAATATCTGGATATTTCACGGGGGCATATCCGGATACCTCAAACCCAACATCCGGATATTTCGCTGCATTTCGCGAAGATATCCTTCCAAGACTCCATTTTTAACACATTTAAACGTCAAAGCATGCATTTTTAGACATATTTGGATCAGTGTTCATGTTAGCTACTCAATCATTTCGTTTTACATGCTAAGACTCCCTCTTTAACAAAGAAACTCATGAACAAAGTTAAAGAACATACCCCCAACAGCTCAAAACAGCAAAAAAAAGGTGTCTTGATGGTTTCTATACCACTCTATTGTGCAGTAAACACAAGGCCACGAAAATGAGTTACAAGATTGGTCATTTCTCTTCAAAGGTAGTTTCTTGGAGCATCAACAACTAAGAAAATGGCGCCTACACCTTTCAACCAAGATGAATAATCCACAACTCTCACCAATAGCAACTACAACTCAGAAGGTAACACTTTTCTCCCTCACCAATCACACAAACAAGTGTTTATAATGTTTAGGTGGAAGAATCAAAGATAAAGAATGAGTTTTGGTTGAGGTTTCATGAAGAAGAAGGAGGGTGGCAAGGTGGAGACACCACACTTCAGAAAACTCACGTAGAAACTGATGGAAATCGACCTTTTGTACATTTAATATTTATAGGCTCATTAAACTAATCTGTTGATATTAGTGCTAAATGCTCTGCTAAACATTTTAATCTCAAACTTCAGATTCTTAACCTAGTCATTTTTCTAGGATTTGTCATATTTTTATTATAATTTTCGCAGCACTTTGCCGGTACGCATTTTTACGTAGCCAATATTAGTTCTGACGTCAGTTCTCATTATTTCGATTCCAAACTTGATATACCAGTCCTAGATATTATTCTAGAAATATTCACACACTTATTATAATTTTTCAGGATACTTCACCGGTAAACACTTATATCGTGAAGCAGAACCGATATCTGCACTTTTCATCAGAAAAATAACTTTAAGCGTTATTAAACCCTTACATTAATTATTTAAGTCCTCTCATAATTATTCAAGGTTAATTATGGAATTATTTCTCAAACTCATATTTAAATTATTAAAAATTCCTAATTTAACGGTGCGGGTTCTTACACCAGTAAATTCTGACAAATATTGGCCTACTTCTACAGACCCTAAACCTATTCCTCCACCATTGAAAATGCCAATTGGTCGTCCCAAGAAACACAAGAGAAAGGATCCAAGTGAGGAAAAAGGTAGCAATACCAAGCAAGTAAAAAGGACATATGCTGCTAAATATCCTAAATGTGGTCAGCTCAGTCACTATGCAAAGATATGTAAGGGACTAGCATCAAGTAAGAAAGGGAAGAGACCAGCAGCTCCTTCAAATCTGTAACTACTCAATTTTGTCCTAAAAAATAAAATAGAAAATAAAATGTAAAGAATAAAATATATATAATAATAAAAAATAAAATTAAAAAAACATTGTTCCATTACCTACGTAACCTCCATCCTGAACTGTGACAGTTTGGGTCCCCTGTCCCACAACTGAGATTAATTTAGCCGTGATGGCTTGTTAATCTTATAATATAATTTTGGGTTATTTTAACTGTGACAGTTTGATAACCCGAAATTGACAGCTTACCTAGAGCATACTTATTTTTCCTATTTAAGCTGGGATCTCAATTCCGCATATATATACCTTTTAGGCCCCCGCCATCACCGTTTACCTATTGAGCTCCTACGCTCGTCATTGTATATATTTATACCTTAATAGCCACCACTTCATATGTTCCCGGACAAAATGAGAGTTTACGTCTTTACTTATTCTTTATGATAATATGAAAATTAATTTTTTCATATTCTCGACTAAAGATAAGTAAAGAGGGGAAGCTGTAACTACTCAATTTTGTCCTAAAAAATAAAATAGAAAATAAAATGTAAAGAATAAAATATATATAATAATTAAAAATAAAATTAAAAAAAACATTGTTCCATTACCTACGTAACCTCCATCCTGAACCTATACTTCACCCTAACCTTCAAACCGCCTCATCTCTCATCATTACATTTGCTCTCCATATCTAGCAGCGAAATTGCTGGATGATTTTTTTAAAAGAAAAGAAGCATAGGGGCTATAGAGAGCAGAGCTTGGGGCGGTGGAAGCATGGATATAAGAGAAAGCAGAGGCGCCATCTATTGAATAAAAAAAAAAGCCTGCATGATATGAATAAAGGGAAGAGGCAAGAAACCCTCGTGCGAAGAAACCTCTTGGGATAGCTCTCTATAAATACAAGGATATACAGAACTCAAAAGGGAGAGGAGGAAGGGAAGAGAATGAGCAGGTTTTAAAGGAAAGCCATAAAAAATGTTCTGTGAGTAAAAAAATAAAACAAAGCAAAGCAAGAAGATATTAATCATCACTCTCTCCACCAAGAAAAACTTCCCCTAATTAACCACGCGGATAGCTCTCATCTTCAATGCAAACCACCCTCCAGGCTCCTGCTCAAACCACGTCAGTGCAAGTCGCCACCATGCTTTACATCATCAGTGCAAGATAAGCAATCTGGTGGGCTTCCTTCAAATGCACCCACAGTAAGCAAGAAGCAAGGCTTTACATATAGTTTAGTTTTTTCCACCGGAAGGTCCGCAAACTTCATCATTCAAGTATGTACTCATTTTTTACTTTCTGGACTTTCTACCGTGTTTGCATGCATGTGTATCAAGTCCTAAATAAGTCTCTATGCATTTTCGAATTTCAAAGGATAGCTTAGATCGATGGTTCTTTTTTTCAGCTTTAGTTTTTTTGTTTCCTTCTTTATATTAAATATATTTTGCATGTATATTTGTCATCTTCCTATCTTCAGTTTGTTATTACAGCAACACGTACAAAAGCTTCCATCTTTTTCTAATGGTATGTTAAGAATTCATCATCATTCTTCTATTTAAATATATTATTTTGACCTACCTTTTGTAAATCCATCGATTTCTATATGCAATGTACATAGGACTTTTGTCTTTTTCTACTAAAGTAAATGCTACTTCTTTAATTAATAAATATAGGTCACCTGTTGACCATTTCGTTGGTCAGGTTTATATTTAGTATATTGGTTTGTTTGTTTATATTTTATTTTAATTCTCAAATTTGTTGTTAACACAATTCAGGATAACATGTTTTTCGAAAACAGTAAGTAGTACCTCATGGTATTAATTATTAGTTGGTCACTTTTATTATATTCAAACTTATCTGGTTCTATAAATTTGTATAACTAATTAATGTCTTTTACTATTCATGACTGTTCTATCTTCTTTTTGTTCTTAATTGTTAAACGTGTGATAAATTAAAATTAAAAATTTAACTATAGTAAAGAGAGGAATTATCTGAGTTGTGACAACTTGTTAATCCCATTATTTTCTAAGATCATTTCGACTGTAACAGTCCGATGATTCTAAACTATTTTAGAAATAATAAGCAAACAAAAAATAATCATAAATTATTGATTTCAGGTCAACTTAAAACATAAAGAATAAAGAAAATTAGTTCACTGTCAAGTGAAATGGGACTCAGCTGAGCCGTGACGGCTCGTTATCCCCACACATTTTGTTTTGACTCGTTGTAGTCGTGACGGCTCGGTGATTCAAAATTCATTCAAATTTATCTTAAAATTTATAATAAATAATAACGTGAAATTTAATTTATTTTAAAAGGATTAGCTGAGTTGAGACAGCTTGTTAATCCTACAATTATCGTTTCAGATTATTTTAGCTGCGACAGTTTGATAGTCTGAAACCATCAAATCCAAAACTTTCAAATTAAGACTACTTTCAAAAAAATAAAATCAATCAACTCACAATATTTTCTACAGAACGACGTAGCTTTGAGTTCCCTATTGTACCGAGGGATACGTCGGAGCGGGACTTTTCCCGTCAAGCACAAAAATAAAATTCCAAAATTAGTTTTCTTTTCCAACAAGCATTCTTGTTTATTTTTTTGGGTGAAATAAATATTTAAAATATTATCAATAATTTGCACAATTAATATAAGGTAACCGTTTTTTAAACGGAGGATGTAGGGTGCTAATACCTTCCCTACTCGTAATCGACTCTCGAACCCGTTTTTGTTTTCAAAGGACCAGCTGTCTTTAAAAAAGGTTTTTCCAATGTTTTCCTAAATAAACCTTGGTGGCGACTCCATTGTTTTAACCATTCAATATTCTTTCGCCGTCACGTCGCGATACGGTTGCGACAGCTGGCGACTCCACTGGGGAATTTTTAGAGAGTCAAGCCTATTTTATTAATTGTGCAAATTATTCATAAACTTTATTTATTTTGTTTCACCCATCTTTTTTCTATTCTTTTATATCTTTTGAATAAGTGTCATTATTGAACATTATGTGTTGATGGTATATATAGTTGCATAAAGTATGTATCTTGTTTGACTTTAACCTCAGGGTAGACGATTTTTGCTCTGTATATATCCTGCCTTGTTATTGTTTTGCAGCCTTGAGACTTTAGTTATTTTAGGATGTACATGTATGTATACTCCTAGCACACAACTCACACACGCTTACGAGTGGGGCCCTATACCCGGGTCTGAGTGAACTTAAGATAGAAAGGAGGTTGTGTAGTGGTATCCATTTTGGATGTACATCCTGTTTGGTTATCATGAAAGCCTCATCTAGAGCGTGACTATTTCGGGATTATAGCCATTTTGGACGTACGTCCTGTTTGACTATATTTTCAAAATGAGATCTTAGCTCTAGAGACCAAGGTTCCTATAGTTATAGAACCACCAAAATGAGAGGTTCCACACATTAGTAAGACCTTTTGACCTGCAAAATAAGAGTAAGATTATGCACTCAAAAGAAATTGATTCAGGACGCGAAAGGATCATATTTCCTTCTTACTTTTATTTTATCCTCTACATATTTCCGAATCATCATGAATTCATATTTCAACTACTCATGCAAATGCACAACGACATAAAAAAAAAATTTAAAATTTTATTTTTTAAAAAAAAATTTGTACTCACTCAATATTATCTTCGTCAATTTTTTTTTTTTAAAAAAAAATTCTAAAAAAGTAGTCATTCATCATTCTTTGTACTCACTCACCCACATTATCTATCTTACACTATTTCAGGAAAGTTTGTTAGAGAACTGTTGAATTTTAGTTTGATCGTGAGTATCATTATTACAAATATGGGATCAAATCACCGTGAGACACAATCATCAATGTTGAGGAAAACTTTGCATCTCAAAGCTAAAAAACCTGAAACTGAGAGTTTGAAGGTTTTGGGCCGCATGTTAAAGAAACCGCAACAGTTGACCCTCTCTAGGAAGTATGGGAATGTCTTGGATTTACTGGAGGTGGATGTTCAAGTTGAGGCAATCACTGCAATTTCACAGTATTATGATTCACCTCTTCGATGCTTTACTTTTCAAGATTTTCAGTTAGCCCCTACATTGGAAGAATTTGAGCGAATCTTCGGGTTATCTTTAGAAGAGGAGAAACCCTATCGTTACATTGGGCATTACCCTTCCATGCACGTTGTTGCTGAGATTTTGAAAGTTCGGGTGATAGACTTACAAGAAAGGAAGCAAATTCGGAATGAGACTATGGGATTTCCGAGAAAGTATCTTGAAGAACATCTTCACCACTTAGCAGAAGAAGGGGAATGGGACACTTTCATTGATGTGTTGGCCCTCACTATATATGGCATTCTCATATTCCCTAATATTGATGAATTTGTGGACTTTGCATCCATTGATGTATTTGTGGCACGCAAATTCAAACGTGAAAACCCAGTCCCAGCCATTCTTGCTGATGTTTACTATACCTTGAGCTTTTATCATGAAAGGAAAGGGAAGCGAATCTTGTGTTGTTTATCAGTGTTGTTCATATGGCTCACTGCTCACATGTTTAACAGAGGATACAAAGCGGCGTGCCCGATCGCTGATTTTCGGATGTATCAGTTGAAAGCCAAAAGTGGTCGCGAGTGGGTGGAAACTTTAGCCAAAGCTTGAGGGAAAAAGTGTTCGATGGTATCCTGAATGGGCAAGAATAGAAGCTTTGGTTTACCAATGTGGGGATTTTCCCAATGTGCCTCTGCAAGGTACTCGTGGATGTATAAATTACAATCCATCTTTGGCATTACGACAACTTGGTTATGCTATGAAAGAAGCTCATACTGAAGACATGACAATTTCTTTCCTCCTTTATGATCTAAGCCCTGAAAATACCACAATGATCAAAAGGGTTCGAAATGCGTGGGACAAGGTAGTACGAAAGGGTAAAGAATTGGGGGTAAGAAGCTGTGATTGCAAAGAAAACTATCGTCAATGGGTTAAAGACCGAGTTAAAAAAGTCAAGTTACCATTCCAAACTCCTGTGGTCAGCAAAACACCAATTCTCGAACCTATTGAAGATGAAGAGGTGAAGGAAGTGAAGGCTAGGTTGATGAAGGTCGAGATAGAGAAAAAGAAGCTAGAACAAGAGTTGGATGAAACAAGGCAAACATGTCGGGCATTGGAACGAAAAAACATTGAGAGAGACCATAGTTTTGAAAGGACTAATAAGAAGGCTAGAAATGAAGAACACCTCAAGCTCAAAACACAGGATTGCTTAAAAGCAGCAAACAAGGAATTGGGACTTCGAGGGCAAGAAAGGGATAAGGCCCTGGCTGAAAACCAACAAATCAAGAAGTCACTTAGAAGCAGTAAAGCAGCTGAAAAGGATGCATTAAGACAAGCGGCCCATATACAACAACATATGGAAGAAGTAGTGGCCGGATATCAGGATGTGATCCAGAGAGGGCAGGAAGACATGCAAAGGTTAAGAGACCATATTCAAGAGCAAGAAGCAGTCATTACTGAGATTAGAGAAGATGTTTCTTTCTGGATGACTCGTTTCTCAAATTTGGTCAAGATTTCTAATAGGGCAATCATAGATGTTCCAGATCTTTTGAAGATGGCCGACATGATGGTAAATCCCCTCAGCACCCCGATGGAGATTTGTGACTTCATAGATCATTGCAAAGATTTGGTTAGGGAAATGAAACAATTGGTCAGTGGGGGCATGTGAAGCAGTGTATGAATATGACCACTTGTATTTTGTTAGAGAACGTTTGTATTTTGTTATGAAAGGATTGTAATATGCTTTAGTTCTCAACAAAGATGTTTTGCTTGTGATCCTATATTTATATGACCTAGTACTTTCGAACGTGACGTTCTGAGAAACGGTCTTGAAATGAATAATGATACTCACATCAATGCAACACACGTATCAACAGTTTTCCGACAAGCTCAAAAAGGAAATAGTAATACCATAAGTAAACATTCATCATGTTTTCATTTCATACAAACAAAAAAAATAGTGATTTTCATGGCATTAGTTCACTGTCAAATAAAAAGTGTTTCATAATGACAAGCATTTCATAGTGACAAGTGTGTCAAAGTGAGAAAACTTTTGAACTGTTATTTCTCCTTGAAAAATTTGAATCCCTCAAATCTTGCATATCAAAACTCTTGCAAACTCAAACTCTAAGACATGGAATCCAAAGAAGCATGTGATGCAAGGAATTTGA